AAAATGTTTGTTGAAGAGTCGGAGGGTGTAGGATGCTGCAATTGTGGTGGGAATCATGTTCCTGAGTCCCCGGGGTGCCCTGTCAGGGTGAAGGAGGTTGGAGGTGGCGAGGATCAGGTATGTCCATTAGGTCTCCTATGCGGAGGCAGTGGAAATAGTTGAAGGAGGAAATGGAGATGAGGAGGAGGACATGGCAGTGGATGTCCCGCCCCGCAGCTTTCTGAGAAAGTTGTTCATCATAGATCCTGAAACACTGATGGTTAAGAAAGTGGATTTTGTTGCTTTTATTGAGAAGGTGATGAATTGTACTGGCCAAACTACCAATAAATCGAAGAAGCTGTATATCATACATTGTGAATGCGGCTAAAAGGTTTTTGGATCTCCAGGACTTCACGGCAGAGACATTGTTGGGAATATTATCTGAAGATGTTTCCTCCTCTTAGGCCCCAGAGCCTGTGTAGGGATCTGAGTTGGAATTGAATAAGACTGAGACTATTTTGTCAGATTTTCTTTGTTGTTGATTTTTGGAATATTATGAGTATGTTTTTAATCCTTCTCCCTTTTCCCCTTTTACATTTTTTTATTGGCTTCACAGTTTTCACCCCACCCAGTAGGTGGCGGCAATACACCAAAACAAGATGTAGTCCGCCATAAAACCACACAGAAGAAGACAAAGTACGCACAAAGATGGTGGATAAATGAAGATAGGGCACTCAGGCCAGTTACCATTGAAAGAAATTGTCAGATCCGGTCTACTTAACTGGGTGTGTCTCCCATAGACACCAATGCAATTGCAGATGGGTCTGGTCTACTTACTTCATTGACTTTCATTGATCCAGAAAAAAATGGGGTGTCTCGCTTCCTCTTCCGTCTCTGGTACACAGACAGGACACACCCTTTTCACGCCACTTCGATACAGCTACGACCGGAAGTGATTTTCTCTAACCCTAACCCTTTTCCTAACCTTAACCTCAGTCTCCTAACCTGCTACGTTAATTCTCCTAACCTGCTATGTTAATTCTCTTAAACCTGATACGAAAAAGTCACTTCCGGTCGTAGCTGTATCGAAGTGAGGTGAAAAGAGTGTTTCTCGTAGACAGACACAGTTATGGCTAAAGGCAGTGGAACATGGAGAAGAAGAAGATGGCGGAGGCTGATGTTTAAAAAATAAACTAATGGCGTGTCGAGTGTAGATGAGCGTGAGAAGGAATGGATTACCGTGGCGAACAATAAGGGAAATAAGAGAAATAAAGTGGTCGTGGAATCGAGTAAAGCCAAGCCTTGCTCTGACTCTTTTTTAGTTGGAGTGAAGGTTTTGGACCGATGGCGTTATCTGGGAGATCCGTTTGACATCTCGATTAATATCATAGATGCATTGGATAAGGTTGCGTCAGGTTGTTGAGGATAACAAGAAGTGGGCTTTGTGTGTGTGTGTGTGTGTGTGTGTGTGTGTTCGAGGAGCAGAAGGAGAACACACACACCTTTGCAATGGAAAAATATATTGGATTGGAATGTGTCATGTGTGGATCTGCATAGCAGGACACGTTGACTGACCATTTGTGCCCAAACCCATGCATTGTGATACATTTCAACTATTTGGACATGTGTCAAGTGTATTTAGATGGGAGGAGTATCGTATGCCAGTTGAGGGAAAATTCTGCAATTGTGGTGACGAGCATTCACACCTGTTAGGGTGAAGGAGACCGAATTGGCAAGAGTAAAGGCTGTCCAGCGTGTTTCCTATCTGGAGGCGTTGAGAAAAGTGGAAGAAGGGAGTAACGTTGAAGAAACCATGGTAGTTGGATTAGAGAAACCCCGCCAACAGGATCCTGACATGTTCCATGTTAAAAAGGTGGACTTTGTATCGTTTATTGCATTGGTTATAAACTGCTCAGAGGAAATCTGAGAAAGTAGGCATTGTTGTGAGTGCGGCTGAATGTTTTTTGGGACTCAGGGATTTTACAGCAGAGGCATTACAAGCACAGGCGGTTGGTGGCACCTTAATTAGGGAGGACAGGGTCGTGGTAATGGCTGGAGCGGAATAAGTGGAATGGTATCAAAGACATCAAACACGTGTTGGATGCCATTCCATTTGCTCCGTTCTGACCATTATTATGAGCCGTCCTCCCCTCAGCAGCCTTCTGTGATTACAAGGAATCCTGTTGACGAATGTGCCGTCCTCACAGGCCCCTGAGCCTGTGTAGGGATGTGATTTGGACTATGACTGAAGGAGTGGGATGGGTTTTTGGATTCATTTATTTTTATATTGTATGTGATGTTGGATTCCCACAATGGATTTTTGTTTTCTCGTTCACTACCCGTACAGTAGGTGGCGGCATGCACCTTTAACATTTGTTTGCGGACCGCCATAATACCAGAGAAGAAGAAGAAGAAGAAGAAGAAAAAAGAAGAAGAAGAAGAAGAAGAAGAAGAAGAAGAAGAAGAAGAAGAAGAAGAAGAAGAAGAAGAAGAAGAAGAAGAAGAAGGCTGTAGTAGTGCCGATACGGAAACCAAGGAAAGACCCTACTAGTCCTTCAAGCTTTAGGCTGATAGCGTTGACATCTCATGTATGTAAACTTATGGAAAGGATGATAACGGAAAGGCTGACTTACTTTCTGGAGAGTAGAGGACTAATGTCACCAGATCAAAGTGGGTTCAGAAAATGCAGGGGAACAATGGATCCTGTACTGTGCCTTGAGTTAGTCATATGGAAGGCACAGGCAAATAAGGAGGTGGTGGTAGCCGTTTTCTTCAATGTAGTGAAGGCCTATGATATGATGTGGAAGGAAGGCCTACTTATCAAGCTGGATATAATGGGGGTTGGAGGAAGGGTTTTTAACTGGATAAAGGATTTTATTTTTGGGCAATACAAGTGAGGGTGGGGAGCTCTATGTCAGAAAGCTATGAGGTAGATAACGGTATCCCCCAGGGAAGTGTCATTAGTCCTTTGTTTTTCTCTTTGTTTTTCTCCATTATGATTGACGATGTATTCTCCCAGCTGAGATCTGAAATTGGGAGGTAATTGTTTGCGGATGATGGGGCACTGTGGAAGAGAGGGAGAAATATTATCCATACAGCCAGGAGAGTTCAAGAAGCAATCAGTGAAGCTAAGCAGTGGTCCCTCAGGTGGGGCTTCAAGTTTTGAGTTGAGAAAACACAGACTGTGTTTTTTTCTAGAATGAAGGTTGGGGAGGAAATATACTTGAAGTTGTATGGAAGGAATCTGGATAGGGTGGGAGTGTCTAGGTTCCTGGGGATCTGGTTAGATACTCAAATGGCATGGGCGGAGCATATTAACAGAGTAGTTGTCAAAGCAAAGAAAATATTGAATGTGATGCGTTGCCTGTCAGGAACGGAGTAGGTGACAGATAGAATGGCGTTGAAAATGCGATATATAGCGCTGTTAAGGTCATCACTGGATTATGGAAGTGTAGCATATGGATCAGCAGCTCAGACATCTTTAAAAAAGCTAGATGTAATCCAGGCCCAAGCCTTAAGAATATGTTGTGGAGCACTCAGGACCTCCCTGGTGGCAGCGATGCAGGGAGAGTTGGGAGAGATGCCATTAAAGTTGAGAAAACAACAGCGAACCATGACATATTGGGTAAATCTACAAAAGACATAAGGTTACACATCTTACAGAAAAGGTGCTCCTAGAGTGCTGGGAACATGAACGGAATCTGAATACAAGTTTTGGGTGGATAGGAAATGGCATGACGAGAGAGATGGGGTTGTTTGGGAGGGAGTTTAGCCCCTCTGTGGTTATTCCTGCTATCCCACCTTGGTTGCTCCGTCAGCCAGGGATTGATCTAGGGTTGCCTGAGAGGGTAAGAGCTGTGAGGAAAGAGTAGATTCAGTTGTAAGGGAACATTTAAGAACACAATACTATGCTTTCTTGAATATATTCACAGATGGATCTTAGGACCCTAAAAGGTGCAGCTTTTAGTGTTCCTGAGTTTAATGTGGCAGTGACAAAAAGCGCAATAGATCATTTATCTGTTTACACAATGGAGTTGATGGCCATACTCTTGGCTGCAGAGTGGGTGTAGGAGGTGAGGCCAGACAGGGTAGTCATCTGTTCTCACTCCTGTGCAGCACTGATGAGCTGAAATTCATTTGTGTCTTGGAGCAGTAAGGATGTATTGTATGAGGTTTTGCAGTGCTTGTATAGAGTGAGATAGATGGGGGCATTTGTGATGTTCCTTTGGATACCAGCTCATGGAGGAGCAGAGGGGAATGAGGAGGTGGATGTTATCGCCAAGCAGGCTCTTAAACATCCTAATGTTGAGATGGAATTGTCAATTAGTAATCAGAAGCCAAGGGGTTGATAAAAACAGTGATTAAAAACAAATGGCAAGAGTTGTGGAACAGGGAGGGAAAGTGAAGACACCTGTATAAGATTCAGGAAAAGGTGAGGGCAGGGAGGTCCTCAGGCCGAGAGAGAAGGGAGGAAAGTGTAATCACAAGGCTGAGACTGGGACACACAAGGCTCAATAGTACATTGAAATTGGTGGGGAATCATCCGACTGGAAGGTAAAAAGAATTGTCAGGAGGAGATGGAGACAGTGGAACACGTTCTATTTCAGTGCCAGAAATATGGGAGGGAAAGGGAGCGATTGTTTCTAGATTTGAGGAGTAATGGGGTTGAAGAGCCAAGATTAAGTTAACTGCTGGGGAAATCTTCAGGGGATGTAGTATTTAATTATGTATTTCGTTTCCTTAGGGAGACGAGAATATTGGGTCTGATTTAAGACCGTCCCTGTCTCTGTCCACACTCCAGTCCAGTTGTTGGCGGTAATGCACCTTAAAGTTGGTTGCCAACTGCCATACAAAATCCACAGAAGGAGAAGAAGAAGAAGACGACGTCGACGAAGAAGAAGAAGAAGAAGAAGAAGAAGAAGAAGAACTAGAACTGACTAAGAGGAACTGACTAAGAGGTGCGAAATGGAGGGAGGAAGAGAGATCTGACTTTAGAAGACAAGTAGAGACTGTAGAAACTATTTTTTTTTTTTTTTGTTATAAGAAGAAGCTTAGGTAATGGTACCTCCCACATCAGGGTACAACTATCAAACATCAGATTAATTCATTGCCTAACAGTTGCTTTCAAAACAGGTTTATGCTAAATATTTTCGGTGAAAAAAAGCCACAAAGGAATAGGCCTAGTCAAATTCAAATATAGCTAGCTTGTATTAACTTAAGCAACATTTTTCTTTAAAATATGGAACGGCTGCGTTATGATTAGCCTATGTAAAAGCCATTCCGTTCGCATCATGGGTATGTGAAAAACAAGGTAAGTCGACAGCGTCACTAGCTAAAGCAAACCAGTCATAAAACAGGTTTGTTTACATTGTCTCCTGCATGAACATATGCGGATGTCATTCTAGGAATTTTACCTAAATATTTCGGACAGCCAGTTTTACGCGTTTTCTTCAGTTGCGTTTGCCTTTTAGTCTAGATAAAATGTCAGCCTAGGTGTAAAGCAGTTATCCTTATAACGACCAACTCCTATTGTAGGCCTACACAGCCTGCGTTTCGATGTGGAGTCATTTTTCCAAAATATGTCGGGCAACCAGTTTTACGGGTGTTGTCTTTGACACAGCCTGGGTTTCGACATCACGGGGGATATTTATATCTCGGGATATGGTGTTCCCCTTGAAAATCACTTGCCCTTACTCGCACTTCTGCAGCGCACGATGAAGGCACTGTTATAGGGCGTCATTGCCAGTGCAAGTGCTGTTATTCCAACATGTCGTACCTCTACGCGGGGGAATATAATTGCTTAGAAACTACGACAGTGACTTGAGGGTAAGTACAGTATGCTTCTGTCAATAGTGTGCAATGTGCTTGCCTTGTATCAATTGTCTGCCTGTCAATTGACCTATCAGTATCACACTTCAATGATGCTACTCTCTTATGAACTGCTGTTAATACAGTATCTACCCTCATAACCTACTACTACAGTATACTGTACTCAGTGACTACTGTAGAGATAATGTTTTATTGTACAGTAGTTATTCATGCTCTAGTTTTGAAAAAGTATGCTATGTCTACTTTTTCTTAAAAAATATCAGCTGTTTAGATTTCTGTCTGGCAACAATTTAAGCTATTCCACAATATCCAATAATTCCTCAGTCATTGGCTATTTCAGACAGATTCACTAGTGATCAACTGCCTGACCGGACACTTGAGAAGAGTTTCATTCGTGGAGGAGGGTTGGGGTTTAGGGCTGTGGGGACATGTAGGGGGATCTGCTTGTGTCCCTGTATTTAGTTACAGACTATCAGCGATTTTGACACAAAGTCAGATGCGGTCAAAGAGTTGTTTACTTGCCAGAAGTATGATTGGTCGGCCCACACCTGTTAGCTGAAGGTGAGGTTTGGTTTATTCAAACGATTTTCTTAAGGGCACTAGGAATGTTTCTCACAATTTTGAGGAAACAACACACTTCTACATGGACATGTTATTCTTAGTAGGGAGTTGAGAACAGAATTTGAGTTGTTAATACAGAAACACTTCAAGTAATTTTGAGGAATGCAGTTTGCCATACAGTTTCACTTCCTCCTAAAATGCCTCTCACCAAATAAATCCTTGCATGAAATATGGCCGCTCCAGCTTTAGTAATGACAGGTGAACAAAAGGTCAGGGTCATCCACTACACCCCTTCACCAAAGGATCTGATGACCACATGAGTGATAGTGTGACTGGCCTATTTGTAAAGCAGTGGGGGGGCACATGAGATGTGGCTTTGGCTGACCTATGGACTGATCATGACCTTAACGCGATAATGCAACTAAATCAACAAATACTATGCAGTAATAGGCAAATACTAAACTGTTGCAAGGCAGCCAGTGGTAAATACATGGGTCCTGGTCTGAGGTCAGATACTGCAGAAGCAGGTGATGACATACAGTCAGGTCCAACATTATTGGTACCCTTGATAAAGATGAGTAAAAAATACTGTATAAAATAACTCATTCAAATACTGAGCTATATTGTATGGTCAAATTGTTAAAGAAAATAATATTTTATACTAATACAATTGCTCAATGAAAATAGATTTTGTTTAACAAGTAATACAAATAATTCTAAAAAAGATTGGTGTCAACATTATTGGCACTCCATGTTTTCAATACTCCGGCACCCTCCCCTTGCGAGGATAACGGCACTGAGGCTTTTTCTAAAATGTTTTATGAGATTGGAGAACACATTGGGAGGGATCTTAGACCATTCCTCCATACATAATCTTTCCAGATACTTAATATCCTTTGGTCTGCGCTTATGGACTGCCCTCTTAAATTCAAACCACAGGTTTTCAATGGGGTTCAAGTCCGGAGACTGAGATGGCCATTGCAAAATGTTGAAATGGTAAAATGTCCTGGTACTTGGAAGAGTTCATGATGCTGATGACCTTTATCAAGGGCCCCAGGACCAGTGAAAGCAATACAGCCCCATAACATCAAAGATCCACCACCATATTTTACAGTAGGTGTGAGATTATTTTCTGCATATGCATCCTTCTTTCGACGCCAAACTCACTGCTGGTGTGCGTGGCAAAAGAGCTCTATTTTCATGTCATCTGACCATAGCACCAGTGCCAATGCCGTTTAGCAAACTCCAGGCGTTTACATTTGTTGGTTGCTCTCAATAAAGGCTTTTTTTCTGGCAACCCTTCCAAAGAGCTTATTGGCATGGAAGTGGCGTCTAATTGTAGATTTGGGGATTTGGGTGACACGAAGATGTGACCAAGTTCTGTAATTCTCCAACTTTGGCCCTTTGGATTTTTCTTTGCCTCTTGAACCATCTTCCTCACTGTGCGTGGGGACAAGATCCACTTGTATTTTGCCATAACAGAATGGTTTAATCATAATGAAAGAGAAACACACGCACACTGTGCTGCCAGTCACAGTGTAGGGCGCAGGGTGCAACTGAAATTTTGCGGGCGAGAGAGGATGAAGGAAGCTTGCCTTGAAGCACTGGGCATCTTGTTATGCTAGCTAACGAGCTTGTGTGTGTTCAGAGCAGCACTATAATGAATTAAAACACATATTTTTGTAATTAATAAATCCAATGTGATACGTGATAACTATAGTAACCTTAACTAGCATTGAAAAGTTTTCATTTTTCTGAATCATGCTTGTAACGTCCTCAGTAGGCTGCAGTAACCTATGCTTCAGCGGGGAGGTGCAGGTAGCCTACGCACGCCACTGGCAAAGATTTCCAGCTGGCAAACTCACCACAGATGCCGGAATACATTTCTGAGTGACAGAGTGAGGGCTTTGCATAGGCGCTTTGTTGCCCAGAACATAAAATAACATTATTAACTGGTTATTTTCCGGTTTTAGTTTCTGTTCCCTGAACCGGTTCCAACCTTTGATTTCCACACTATGAGTTTGGAATAATACAGCAAAATTGTGAAACTGATAATACGCTTTTAGTGTTTGAATAGAGTGCCTGAAATGTCAGCCTCTTTTGGTGGGATGGTGGTTTGGCCTGCCTGGTGACAGGCGGTAAATTAGTTAATAGACCAATAAGACAGAGTTTCAAACCTCTCTGCCAATAACAGCTAGTTTAGAATTTCCCCTCCCCACTCAGACCACTCCCAGACAGTCCTAGCAATTTTTGGTGTATTTTTAATTAAAAACAATCACAGTAAGGTACTTAATTGTTACCCAGAAATAATTTTATATAGAAAAAAATGGCTGCATTGGACCTTTTTTAAAGCTGAGATTAACTTAAAAAAGCAGAAAATTAATGCAGATTTTATTTTGTTTGATTTTATTTATAAGAATCTTTAGGGGTGCCAATTATTGACACCTATCATTTTGAGAGAGAAAAAACTATTACAAAATCTCTTTCTCTGAGCAATTGTATTAGTATAAAATATAAATTGATGTAGGCAAAAGTCTGACTTACTGTACTATATGTTTGTATATCTCACGCTCCTATTTGTGTCTCTACTATGCCCTCATACTCCCCTGTGTATGTTTTTTCTATCTCTCTCAGTAACGAGTGATCATGGAGAGCTTCTCTCCGCTGGTCCTGGCCATTACTGCCACCAGCTTTGTGACGTTCCAGTGTCTGTTCCACTTTGTCAGCCCCTGGATCTCTGCTCGGTTCTTTCCTGGGTACCAACGTCTTAGCCCCAGACACACCATAGAGTGGAACTCCAGGTACAGCATCTGATCAGGAGACTGAGAAGTGATATGATTATTCAATCAAAGCTCCTATCAGAAGACATATTGTATTATAATTTTCCCAGTTAAAGCATATTTCTGAGCGTAGACACTTTCAAATATCGTTGTTGAGAATTGTCCATTGCGTGGAATCCCACTGCTGCCTCCAAATGTTTAGTTTAAGGAAGTATGCTTTTATGAGTATTTGTGTCTGTTTTTTGTGTTATTTTTCTAGAACTGTGTCTACATTACACGCCTTGATAGTGGGGCTTTTTTGTCTCTACATATTACTACATGATGATGCAGTCAATGATGACCCTGTCTGGTAAGAATCTCCCTGATTACTAAGTGCTAAGTGTGCAATCCTTGGTAGAATAGTCATATTTGGTATATTTGACACCATGCTTTCTTATCATATTTCCTATAATTTCAACATGTGCTTTCTGCCATCTTGCCAATAGGGGAGATCCGTCACTGGTGAAAATAAATGTGGCCATAACCTGTGGCTACCTCCTATCAGGTGGGTCTCCACTTCAGTCATGTCTAACCCTTGTATTACTTTGCATATTTCCATGGATTATGTTGACCCATACAGTGAGCTATCTCCCTTGTCTGTCTTGCAGATATGCTGCTCATATGTTACTATTGGCGGGCGATAGGGGACACGTTTTTTGTAATCCACCACCTGGCAGCACTGTATGCTTACTACTATGTACTGGTGAGTTCCCTACTGATCCAGAGCAGAATGTGCAGGCAAGATGGGGAAGGGACATGGGCCAAGGGTGAACACCCATGTAGTTTGATGGGATGGGTTAGAATGGATAACAAAGGTCTGGTCAGTGATGAAATAGTTGGGTTCCACTTTACAGTCAGTATCCCTAATATCTTTATATTTGGAACACTTTGCTTGACAGTGTTGTTGTTACTGTGTAATTGACCTATAAGTACATTGCTACAAGTGTTGTTATTACTGAGTTTTAATCATTGCAAAATGTGTTTTACTGTACTTACGAGAGTATTACCCAGAAATAGAACACTGTAAAGTGTTTCCCTCCCCTCTTTTTGGAAGGTACAGTGTAAGTAAGCGCATACAGTTGAAGTCGGAAGTTTACATACAACCTTAGCCAAATACATTTAAACTCAGTTTTTCACAATTCCTGACATTTTATCCTAGTAAAAATGTCCTGTCTTAGGTCAGTTAGGATCACCACTTTATTTTAAGAATGTGAAATGTCAGGATAATGGTAGAGATTTATTTAAGCTTTTATTTATTTCATCACATTCCCAGTGGGTCAGACGTTTACATACACTCAATTAGTATTTGGTAGCATTGCCTTTTAAATTGTTTAACTTGGGTCAAATGTTTCAGGTAGCCTTCCACAAGCTTCCCACAATAAGTAGGCCTCCTTGCTCGCACACGCTTTTTCAGTTCTGCCCACAAATGTTCTATAGGATTGAGGTCAGGGCTTTGTGATGGCCACTCCAATACCTTGACTTTGTTGTCCTTAAGCCATTTTGTCACAACTTTGGAAGTATGCTTGGGGTCATTGGCCATTTGGAAGACCCATTTGCGACCAAGCTTTAACTTCCTGACTGATGTCTTGAGATGTTGCTTCAATATATCCACATAATTTTCCTTCCTCACAATGCCATCTATTTTGTGAAGTGCACCAGTCCCTCCTGCAGCAAAGCACCCCCACAGCATGATGCTGCCACCCCTTGCTTCACGGTTGGGATGGTGTTCTTCGGCTTGCAAGTTACCCCCTTTTTCCTGCAAACATAACGATGGTCATTATGGCCAAACAGTTCTATTTTTGTTTCATCAGACCAGAGGACATTTCTCCAAAAAGTACAATCTTTGTCCCCATGTGCAGTTGCTAACCATAGTCTGGCTTTTTTACGGAGGTTTTGGAGCAGTGGCTGCTTCCTTGCTGAGCGGCCTTTCAGGTTATGTCGATATAGGACTGTTCACTCTTGGTCCTGTCCTGTGTAGGTGTTCTGGGCCATCAGGTTCAGTGGCTGCTAAGACTAACGATGATGATGACAATGGGGACCATTTTTTGCATGGATTGTGATGACGGGTTTCCAGGACACATATTCAGCCTAGTCCTGGACTAGAAAACATGCTCAATGGGGAATTGCCATTGAAAGTGCTTTTTAGTCCCAGACTAGGCTTAATCTGTGTCCAGGAAACCGTCCTGTAGATTTTCTGTCCATACTGCATGAAGCTTTCCCTTAATTCCCTCAGTCTGTAATGATGGTGATTGGTGCATGCTGCCTTTTTTGCTTGTTTAGACCTTTTAACTCTACAACCCTATACAACTACACAAAGAAAGGGACCTCCTCTCCTATATTTCCAAATCACCACTGACTTATTTTGGTAAACTGTACTGGCTAATTCCCGGTCCCTTTTTTGGGTAATGTTAGAATGGATTGTAAAGTAAAGGTTATGAAAATGATCATTACATTAACTTATCCGTCATCCACATTGGTAGTCCATACATCTTTTATTTTCTCTAGAATGTTTGTTCACTTTTTCAATGTTGGGATGTTTTTTTCATTTTATTGTGCCAGTTTTCACTAGTTGCACTTCTGTTTTGTTTAGGTATGTATTTTTTTTCTATGTCTCTCCTCCACTAACATGTGTGATCAATGAACCTAGTCTCGTGTCTCTAACATGCTAACTATACAGTACATGCAAAAAATGTCCTAAACAAAGAACAGGCCTGTGTCAATTGGTTAGGTACAGAAGGGGCCCTTCCTATCTTGTCTGTAGTGGATTCTGTTGTGGTACATTGAGCACATGTTGCCTAGTAACAGTATGGACTTACCAGTACATAGAGGTATGAGCATGCACTGCTGGAATGTTCACCACCACATTTTGAAAATGTCTGTGACCCAAGTTAATTAACTGTGTCATAACCCCAGTAAGTGCACCTCGATTTTTCCTTTTTAGAGATCGTACGGTAAGTTTACGATCATGATTTATCCTGAACTCATATTATTGAGAGTACTTCTCTTGCCATTATTTTCTTTGCACTTTGTTTTGTCTCTTTCTCTTTTAGAGCATAGGAATGTTGCCTTATTTTGCTAACTTCCGTCTGGTCGCAGAGCTTTCGACTCCTTGTGTGAATCAGCGGTAGGTAACTTCTATGCCAAATAGACTCATGAACGTGTGCAAACTTGCACACACACACACACAACGTTAACTGGGAAGTAGAGGGAACCTTTTAAAGTAACCATTTACTGCCCTGAATGTATTTGCAGAGGGGCTTTTGTCGTTGGTCGTTTAACCATTTCAGAAACAGTATTGACCGTTAATGTTTAACTACTTATAGTAAGTCAGACCAGACACACCCAGCTAAAAGCTTGTATCTGACAGCATTATTAGAGACCCATGTTTCATACTTAAATACATTTTGAGTCACATACATTTCCAATTGTATATTATCCTGATTTGAATCCAACAAAGACAAAATACAGATGCACTGTTAAAGAATTGTACTTAAAATCTTTCAAGTGCTGGGTATATATAGTGCCTTCAGAAAGTATTCACACCCTTGACTTTTTCCACATTTTGTTGTTACAGCTTGAATTAAAAATGGATTAATACAACAAATCGCACATCTACACACAATACCCCATAATGACTAAGTGAAAACATGTTTTTAGAAATGTTTGCACATTTATTGAAATTGAAATACAGATCTCATTTACATAAGTATTCACAATAATGTCTAAACATGTTTTCTCTTTGTCGTTATGGGGTATTGTGTGAAGATGGGTGAGGGGGACAAAATCTATTTAATCCATGTTGAATTCAGGCTGTAACACAACAAAATGTGGAGTAAGTCAAGACGTAGTCCAATGACTTTTACGATGTCCCCTCCATGGTGGGGGATTGTAGTGAAGTGTAGGGGTACACAATTTACCTAGGGCTGGTCATGTGATACAAGGGACTCTTTCTGAAGGCACTGTATATGTGTAATGTAGGTGACCTTCTGGAACAATGCCAGTTGATATCCATGACTCCATTACAAAGTGAGTGAATCTTCAACTCTTATCTCACTCTGTCACATCCATAACTGTACTAACTGTATCTATCTTTCAGCTGGTTCTTTGAAGTGCTTGGTTACCCAAAAAGATCATTACCAAATATGGTCAACGGCATTGCCATGACGGCATCCTTCTTCCTGGTGAGGATAGCGGTCATGCCACTGTACTACAGCCGGATGTATGCCGTGTACGGGACGGAACCCTTCTACCGGGTGACTTTTGGTGGCCGCTGTGCCTGGATGGGCCCCAGTTTCTGTCTAGACATTATGAATGTCATGTGGATGCATAAAATGGCCCGCGGCTGCATTGGTGTCCTGCGCTCTCCTGGAAAAGTGAAAGTGGAAAAGATGCAGAATGGGAAAGTGCACTGAGGGATAGAAAAAGGCAATGATGGTATTATTTTATTATATGTCTGCTTCAAATGGTTCATGGACATTTTTGGATCAAATGGTTCATGGACTGGAAATGTCTTGAGAGTCCCTAGTATCTCTTGACCAGCCCTAGGTAAATTGTGTACCACTACACTTATTTGCCCAGAAGACTTACAATTAAACAAGCACGAAAGTCCTCCACCATGATGGGAGGGGACATCGTAAAAGCCATTGGACTACTTCTCCTCTTGGTCATTACAGATAGAGAGTAAGTGAATGGACTGTGTGGCATCATGGATGGAAACAGACAGACAAATACTATTTTCTGCTGGACCCTTTGTTTGTAAATTGTTGATGTCCACCAAAAGGTATTGTGCGTATTGCCAAAATGATATGAACTGACATTGAAGAGAATGGAAAAGGAGCTCACATATTTTTGTAATGTTTATGAAGCTGTAAAGATGGCTCTTGCACAAATATCATGAGATATATGTACAAAAATAACATAATTACTAATTAAATCTGTGTTTTCACCAGCATTAGGATGTAAAAAATGTATATTGATAGACTCCTACTGAAGTCTCTCTGCTCAGGAGCCTGCTCATGTTTGGAACATACAGTAGGCCTAGGAATTATTAGTTGTGCATATATTATCAGGGTAGATTAAGACAAAACACAGCAAACATGCCAGAATGTGTCATTTTATCTCTAGAAGGGACCTTACTGAGTGATGTATGATAACAGCCATAAAAGTGCACTTATGTCTAACCGACACACACAGTACAACTTCACTCAAGCAGCTTCACACAGTTAACAAATGACTGATCATACTTCACTGTCAATGTTGAAACAGAGCTTCATAATGTAATGTGAAAAATGAATGATGGTTTCCTGTTGGATTTCTGGACGAGAATATAATGCTATTTATTGTGACATTTACAGCTATGGTAATTTTAATATTTCATTTAAAAAATGAATTCTAATAATGTAGTCTTCTTTGAGTGAGTGATTTATGAACTAAATGTCCATACCTGCTTTAAAAGTCTTCAGACCGTTGTCAGAAGACAACACTTGGATATGCTGCTCTCTTGTGGAGACAAAGCAGGACTGCAAACATTGTATTTCCATTTTATCAAGACGAGACATACTCAAAGAGAGGGTACATTTTACATTTTAGTCATTTAGCAGACGCTCTTATCCAGAGCGACTTACAGTTGGTGAGTGCATACTTTTTTTTTTTCATACTACAGTGGGCAAGGAGCATTGAGCAATATTCATAAACAAATAATTGACGTTAAGACCTTGGTTTGGTGTAATTTGGTAATCACATTGTTTTGTCTAAAAGTTCGATACTTATGGCTACTTTGCCCACCAGTATTACCTCTGGCTGTTATAAAAACGTGCAATTATGCATGTGTGTATTTTTTATTTAAGTTGAATAACATTAAATACTTCGATTCACTCACAAAACATTTTTTAAAATATCAGAGGGGCGGGACCTCTGGCTTTCTCATCCAATGTGGTTTGAGAAGGAGGCAAGGAGAGAGGACGCGAGGAGAATGCAATTGAGGTTCTCCCTATATGAGCCCATTTCTTTTGAAACCGGATGCGGGTTTTCAGTCGGAGTCGGAAATGACATCTTTTGAAATCAAATCAATTTGTATTTGCCACATGCACCGAATACAACAGGTGCAGACCTTACAGTGAAATTATTACTTACAAGCCCTTAACCAACAATTCTGTTTTAAGAAAATAAAAAATGTTAAGTAAAGAATAGATAAGTAAAAAATAAAAATAGCAAATATTAAAGAGTAGCAGTAAAATAAAATAACAGTAGGGAGGCTATATATAGGGGGTACCGGTACAGAGTCAATGTGCGGGGGCACCGGTTAGTCGAGGTAATTGAGGTAATATGTACATGTGGGTAGAGTTAAAGTGACTATGCATAGATAATAAACAGAGTAGCGGGACAATGCAAATAGTCCAGGTAGCCATGATTAGCTGTTCAGGAGTCTTATGGCTTGGGGGTAGAAGCTGTTAAGAAGCCTTTTGGACCAAGACTTGGCGCTCCGGTACCGCTTGCTGTGCGGTAGCAGAGAGAACAGTCTATGAGAACAGTCTTTTTTTCCTGTAGTCCACAATAATCTCCTTTGTCTTGATCATGTTGAGGGAGAGGTTGTTATCCAGGTCTCTGACCTCCCTATAGGCTGTCTCGTTGTTGTCTGTGATCAGGCCTACCACTGTTGTGTCGTCGGCAAACTTAATGATGGTGTTGGTGTCGTGCCTGGCCATGCAGTCATGGGTGAACAGGGAGTACAGGAGGGGACTGAGCACGCACCCCTGAGAGGCCCCCGTGTTGAGGATCAGCGTGGCAGATGTGTTGTTACCTACCCTTACCACCTGGGGGCGGCCCGTCAGGAAGTCCAGGATCCAGTTGCAGAGGGAGGTGTTTAGTCCCAGGGTCCTTTGCTTAGTGATGAGCTTTGAGGGCACTATGGTGTTGAACACTGAGCTGTAGTCAATGAATAGCATTCTCACGTAGGTGTTCCTCTTGTCCAGGTGGAAAAGGGCAGTGTGGAGTGCAATATAGATTGCATCATCTGTGGATCTGTTGGGGTGGTATGCAAATTGGAGTGGGTCTAGGGTTTCTGGGATAATGGTGTTGATGTGAGCCATGACCAGCCTTTCAAAGCACTTCATGGCTACAGACGTGACTGCTACGGGTCGGTAGTCATTTAGGCCTCTACCAAACCAAAGTGTGTAATCACAGAGTTTACTGTCTTTGATGTAACGACAAGGGAAACTTTTTCACGCCACTTCGATACCGAAGCATAGAGAACGATAGAGGCCAAAAGGTTATACAGTGAGGAAAAAAAGTATTTGATCCCCTGCTGATTTTGTACGTTTTCCCACTGACAAAGAAATGATCAGTCTATAATTTTAATGGTAGGTTTATTTGAACAGTGAGAGACAGAATAACAACAAACAAATCCAGAAAAACGCATGTCAAAAATGTTATAAATTAATTTGCATTTTAGCAGACGCTCTTATCCAGAGCAACTTACAGTTAGTGAGTGCATACATTATTTTTTTCATACTGGCCCCCCGTGGGAATCAAACCCACAACCCTGGCGTTGCAAACGCCATGCTCTACCAACTGAGCTACATCCCTGCCGGCCATTCCCTCCCCTACCCTGGGCCAATTGTGCGCCGCCCCATGGGTTCTCTCGGTCACGGCCAGCTACGACAGAGCCTGGATTCAAACCAGGATCTCTAGTGGCACAGCAGTGCCTTAGACCACTGCGCCACTCGGGAGGCCAGTTTAATGAGGGAAATAAGTATTTGACCCCCTCTCAATCAGAAAGATTTCTGGCTCCCAGGTGTCTTTTATACAGGTAACGAGCTGAGATTAGGACCACACTCTTAAAGGGAGTGCTCCTAATCTCAGTTTGTTACCTGTATAAAAGACACCTGTCCACAGAAGCAATCAATCAATCAGATTCCAAACTCTCCACCATGGCCAAGACCAAAGAGCTCTCCAAGGATGTCAGGGATAAGATTGTAGACCTACACAAGGCTGGAATGGGCTACAAGACCATCGCCAAGCAGCTTGGTGAGAAGGTGACAACAGTTGGTGTGATTATTTGCAAATGGAAGAAACACAAAAGACTGTCAATCTCCCTCGGCCTGGGGCTCCATGCAAGATCTCACCTTGTGGAGTCGCAATGATCATGAGAATGGTGAGGAATCAGCCCAGAACTACACGGGAGGATCTTGTCAATTATCTCAAGGCAGCTGGGACCATAGTCACCAAGAAAACAATTGGTAACACACTACGCCGTGAAGGACTGAAATCCTGCAGCGCCCGCAAGGTCCCCCTGCTCAAGAAAGCACCGTCTGAAGTTTGCCAATGAACATCTGAATGATTCAGAGGAGAACTGGGTGAAAGTGTTGTGGTCAGATGAGACCAAAATGGAGCTCTTTGGCATCAACTCAACCTGCCGTGTTTGGAGGAGGAGGAATGCTGCCTATGACCCCAAGAACACCATCCCCACCGTCAAACATGGAGGTGGAAACATTATGCTTTGGGGGTGTTTTTCTGCTAAGGGGACAGGACAACTTCACCGCATCAAAGGGACGATGGACGGGGCCATGTACCGTCAAATCTTGGGTGAGAACCTCCTTCCCTCAGCCAGGGCATTGAAATTGGGTCATGGATGGGTATTCCAGCATGACAATGACCCAAAACACACGGCCAAGGCAACAAAGGAGTGGCTCAAGAAGAAGCACATTAAGGTCCTGGAGTGGCCTAGCCAGTCTCCAGACCTTAATCCCATAGAAAATCTGTGGAGGGAGCTGAAGGTTTGAGTTGCCAAACGTCAGCCTCGAAACCTTTAATGACTTGGAGAAGATCTGCAAAGAGGAGTGGGACAAAATCCCTCCTGAGATGTGTGCAAACCTGGTGGCCAACTACAAGAAACGTCTGACCTCTGTGATTGCCAACAAGGGTTTTGCCACCAAGTACTAAGTCATGTTTTGCAGATGGATCAAATACTTATTTCCCTCATTGAAATGCAAATCAATTTATAAAAATTTTGACATGCGTTTTTCTGGATTTTTGTTGTTGTTATTCTGTCTCTCACTGTTCAAATAAACCTACCATTAAAATTATAGACTGATCATGTCTTTGTCAGTGGGCAAACGTACAAAATCAGCAGGGGATCAAATACTTTTTTCCCTCACTGTATTTGCATGGGCATTAATATAGTCAATTGGATGGGACTTCCAACTTCATTTGCTGATTCCTCCTCACGACCCTGTTGGAGTCAAGAAGAAGACAATTGACTAGTTCAAAAAGGAGATTGCCTCAATGGCGCTGCACATTCTGTCACAAACGCTAATAGCACAGATACAAATATGAGTACTCTATCTATCTCTATGGTCTCAGCTCTGTAGTCGTGGGCCGTGCGTCAAGCTTGCTATTGGCGGACCGCTGTAAGAAAGGTAGCCAACTGTTTATATTTATTACGGTAAACCATAATAAAATACTTTGTTTTAGATGATTGACTTAAAGGAATAGACAACTATTTCACATAGCCAGCTGTTTCTAACCGAACGTCAAACCGTCTTGTGTGCTCATGGGATGGGAGTCCTAACTCTGTCACAAGAGATCCATATAGCACGTTGGGGGCGATGAAACAAAGGAAGCCCACTCATTTTCATGAAGGAAGCGAAGTGGGCGGGGGACCGTTGGGCAATGCTAGCAGCCATTGGCGAGGGAACGTGAACAAGTTGGGGAAATGTTTAACTTTTGTCACATACTCCGCAACATCGCGTTGCTATTGACTAATTGAAGCTCACTATAGTTTCCAGCGCCTACTGGATTGGCTGTTGATACCTAGCACTACCTAGCCTGCTTGCTATTATCAACATGAGGGCAAATCAAGCTTGGCTATCGGTGTCTTCCTGTTGAGGTCTGGTGGCATGCCCCAGGGATTTATTTTTGTTGAACTACTGTGAGGTCACTTCTGCTGACATTTAAAAGGACATTATTCTCCAAAATGCATGAACATTAAATGATGTTCTCTTCCTTTCAATCAAGGACAGTTTAATTTGATCTCCTTATCTCAATTTCATCACCAGCCAATTCTATATTAACCCCCAAAATTATTTAGCTAGTGTAACGTTATTGTATTTTAGCTAACAATGATTACATACATCTATTAATAGGGTTGTCTTCCAGGATTAGAAGATAGCTAGCTAGTTGCCTTGGAGGTTTCTCAGATGATCTGATAAGAATCTGAGGAAGATATGTAATTTGTTGTAACTTGTCACTATGATCTTAAAAGCTTGTTTCAGCAAAATGAAAAAATACAAATATATAGGGGAAACACTGAGCTGAAACAGGTTGATACTGTTGTTTGTAGCCAATAAATCATACAACTAGTCCGACGTTAAGTGTTACAGTTTGCGGATAGCCATTGATACAACGCTGCTAATCAGAACATTTTCGACCATCCTTTGCAGGAACTAGTCATTTCTGTACAACCCAAAATCTGATTAAACAGTTTCCACTTTCAGGGGTGAATGCTTTTGATCATACAAAATATCAGGGGTGAATGCTTTTGATCATACAAAATAGGTTCCAGCATCGACGAACTGTATGACATCAGTACTTTAATTTGTTTGTACTAATGTATTTTGGCCTGTCCTCTCAGGTGCAACAGCACCACCACCAGAATTCCTTATGCACAAGGCATCCGCCCGGCCCAGGTCGAGACCACAACCCCCCCAGCAGCTCCAGCAGCAGGATCAGCACATCAGGACCGGGCCTGTGAGTTTGTGGAGTGCCCCATGAAGGCAGAAGACAGAGAAAAATGTGTGTCTGACATCGATATGGCAAACATGGTACACAAAGCAGATACATGTTTTTTAGCTGGACTGTGTATTATTCTTATTACTGTGTAATTACAATACTTGTTACTCCTACAAGTATAATAACGCAGTAATAAGAACACTAAAGTGTTATAGACATTTGTTTTAATAAACTGTGAGGTACTGAATGTTGGCATTTGGTGTACTTCCTCTCTTTCTTTCTTTTTTTTTTTTACCAAGGAAGTGGTTGGCTAATGGCTCAAATGTATTTTAAACCAGTCAGTTACAAGATAGGAGCTACTACAGCATTACACAAGGCTTGCGAAAGTATTCACCCCCCTTGGCATTTTTCCTATTTTGTTGCCTTCCAACCTGGAATTAAAATTGATTTTTTGGGGTTTGTATAATTTGATTTACACAACACTTTGAAGATGCAAAATATTTTTTCTTCTGAAACAAACAAGAAATAAGACAAAAAAACAGAAAACTTGAGCGTGCATAACTATTCCCCCCCCCCAAAGTCAATACCTTGTAAAGCCACCTTTTGCAGCAATTACAGCTGCAAGTCTCTTGGGGTATGTCTCTATAAGCTTGGCACATCTAGCCACTGGGATTCTTGCCCATTCTTCAAGGCCAAACTGCTCCAGCTCCTTCAAGTTGGATGGGTTCTGCTGGTGTACAGCAATCTTTAAGTCATACCACAGATTCTCAATTGGATTGAGGTCTGGGCTTTGACTAGGCCATTCCAAGACATTTAAATGTTTCCCCTTAAACCACTTGAGTGTTGCTTTATCAGTATGCTTAGGGTCATTGTCCTGCTGGAAGGTAACCTCTGTCCCGTCTCAAATCTCTGGAAGACTGAAACAGGTTTCCCTCAAGAATTTCCCTGTATTTAGCGCCATCCATCATTCCTTCAATTCTGACCAGTTTCCCAGTCCCTGCCGATGAAAAACATCCCCACATCATGATGCTGCCACCACCATGCTTCACTGTGGGAATGGTGTTCTCGGGGTGATGAGAGGTGTTGGGTTTGCGTCAGACATAGCGTTTTCCTTGATGGGCAAAAAGCTACATTTTTTGTCTCATCTGACCAGAGTACCTTCTTCCATATGTTTGGGGAGTCTCCCACATGCCTTTTGGCGAACATCAAACGTGTTTGCTTATTTTTGTCTTTAAGCAATGGCTTTTTTCTGGCCACTCTTCCATAAAGCCCAGCTCTGTGGCGTGTACGGCTTAAAGTGGTCCTATGGACAGATACTCCAATCTCCTCTGTGGAGCTTTGCAGCTCCTTCAGGGTTATCTTTGGTCTATTTGTTGCCTCTCTGATGAATGCCCTCCTTGCCTGGTCCGTGAGTTTTGGTGGGCGGCCCTCTTTTGGCAGGTTTGTTGTGGTGCCATATTCTTTCAATTTTTAAATAATGGATTTAATGGTGCTCTGTGGGATGTTCAAAGTTTCAGATATTTTTTTATAACCCAACCCTGATCTGTACTTCTCCACAACTTTGTCCCTGACCTGTTTGGAGAGCTCCTTCGTCTTCATGGTGCCGCTTGCTTGGTGGTGCCATTTGCTTAGTGGTGTTGCTGACTCTGGGGCCTTTCAGAACAGGTGTGTATATATACTGAGATCATGTAACAGATCATGTGACACTTAGATTGCACACAGGTGGACTTTATTTAACTAATTATGTGACTTCTGAAGGTAATTGGTTGCACCAGATCTTATTTAGGGGCTTCATAGCAAAGGGGGTGAATACATATGCACCCACCATTTTCCGTTATTTATTTCTTAGAAATCTTTGAAACAAGTTATTTTTTTCATTTCACTTCACCAATTTGGACTGTTTTGTGTATGTCCATTACATGAAATCCAAATAAAAATCCATTTAAATTACAGGTTGTAATGCAACAAAATAGGAAAAACGCCAAGTGGGATGAATACTTTTGCAAGGCACTGTAAATGCAGAATTGTTACGTGATATGCATTGCTTCCATACACCGTTCCAGTGGTGGTAATGAAAAGCACAGACATTTTCAACAAACCTTTACATGGCGATACTTCCTTAATTCTCGACTTGGAAGGCACCAGTGTCTCTCCCTTCGCAAGTTGCAGGTGGAACGTTGGAATTTAGAAAATGCTCTGTTATTCAATTAAATACAGTTTTGCTTCATGAAGTAATCCAACAATGCATAGGCAGCCATTTGGTCTATTTCTAATCTTCTCTCATTGATCAAGACAGAAATTAAGCATTGCTTTGAATGACACCTGATGTGACTGAAAACTCAGTAGGCTAGTTCTGTTATTTCTCTTTATCCAGATGCCTCCATCCAACCAGCAGCACGCCCTAGGTCAGCCGTTTGATCCCAGATCCCCTGGGCGGTACGGGTCAGAATCGGGTCTACACCTCGGAAGAGATGTTCTGGAATGCCATGCTGAGGAAAGGGTGAGTGGACCAATCATAACACTGCTAGAGGAGGAATAGGGTTTTAGTGCACCATGTAAATGGGTATAGCCAGGCTCGTGTTTATTTGGCACTGAAAATGGATTGAAACAGGGAGGACTTATAAACACTAAACACTCATTTGTTTTGTTTTCCTTGCATGCCCTAATGAACACGATCCATGTACTTTTAACTGAAGCTTCAAATAGCTCCTGAATGACCTGTACTTGTCATGATATGTGTGCCATGCCAGATATGTGAAATTTATTTTATTGATTTCTTTCTAGGGAACTAGACCCTCCCTGTTATGTTCAGTGATGGAAAAAGTACCCAGTGATGGAAAAAATACCCAATTGTCATACTTGAGTAAAAGTAAAGATACCTTAATAGAAAATGACTCAAGTCAAAGTCACCCAGTAAAATACTACTTGAGCAAAAGTCTAAAAGTATTTGGTTTTAAATATAGTTAAGTATCAAAAGTAAATGTAATTGCTAAAATATATTTAAGTATCAAAAGTAAAAGTATAAATAATTTCACATTCCTTACATAAGAAAACCAGACGGCACGATTTTCTTGTTTTTTCATTCACGGATAGCCAGGGGCACACTCCAACACTCAGACATAATTTACAAATTAAATTACAATGGTAGAAAGGGAGAATAAATAACAACATCTTTGTTTGTTCCTTGAGCAAGAAAGACCATGTTTCTACTGAGCGTAATGGTCCGAATGACTGCACACATGATGGTGCCGCGTAAAAGATCGTTTCTTCTAACTAACAAGGAGGAAACTACAGGGAATAAATTACCATGGTGTACCGTATGAGTACAGGTACGATCCTTAAGCACAACATCACACACAAAGTCAGCACTCGTAACATCCATCATGAAACTAAAGTAGGGTTGCTAATAACAGATTGACCAGCTATCACAAACATGTAGATTACTAAAATCCATTTACATATCAAAGAGTAAACGTATAAATCGATCTGCACTAAACCTGTAAAGACCGCGAACCTGCTTCGAAAGAAGGAGGAGTCCTCCAGGCCGAATAGTGACCAAATGAAGCATTTGTGTTTAGTGATTCCGCCAGATCAGAGGCAGTAGGGATGACCAGGGGTGTTCTCTTGATGTGTGAATTGGACAATTTTCCTGTCCTGCTAAGCATTCGAAATGTAACAAGTACTTTTTTAAATTACAAATGTAGTGGAGTAAAAGTAAAGTAGTAGTAGTCAAACATATAAATAGCTAGCACTCTTTGTGTGGTTGTTTCAATTTATAATACAATAGATTATATAACCTCATTTTGTCTTCTACTCTTTGCAGGTATGGCTTACCGTTTGACATGCACGACTGGATCGTAGACCGCTGTGTAAAAGAGGTGCGCTTGTCATTGACTACTACAATGGCGGTGAGATCAATAAGCAGAACTTCACCATGCTTCGACTCCCTCAGTGCTGTGTGGGACCGTATGAGAGTGGCCTGGTGGCACTGGACCTCCTCTTAAGCCCACACTGCCCACACTAATAGTCTGGTCTCAGATCTGTATATTGTCATGCCATTCATTGATAGTCAGAGGAGTTGGCTAAATCACATACAGATCTGGGACCAGGCTATCCACTACCACTTTAGATTCACAGGGTTGAATACAGTCTCCATGTTCTCCTTCATTGATTTGAGGGAGTAAACATGTATTTATTGAACAGACTCTGCTAATAACTAAACCTTTAAATGACAGCTAGATTGGCTTCATTGCTTGAAATGAACTGTTTTGATTGACTTTGAGTCCACACACACACTATCACCATGTACATTGCCTTCGGAAAGTATTCAGACCCCTTAGGTTTTTCCACATTTTGTTACGTTACAGCCTTATTCTAAAATTGATTAAATCGTTTTTTTCCCTCAGCAATTTACACACAATACCCCATAATGACAAAGCAAAAACAGGTTTTTAGACATTTTAAAATATCACATTTACATAGGTATTCAGACCCTTTACTCAGTACTTTGTTGAAGCACCTTTGGCAGTGATTACAGCCTCAAGTCTTATTGTGTATGACGTCACACCTATATTTGGGGAGATTCTACCATTCTTCTCTGCAGATCCTCTCAAGCCTAGTCCGGTTGGATGGGGAGCGTTGCTACACAGCTATTTTAGGTCTCTCCAGAGATGTTCGATCGGGTTCAAGTCCGGGCTCTGGCTGGGCCACTCAAGGACATTCAGTGACTTGTCCTGAAGCCACTCCTGCGTTGTCTTGGCTGTGTGCTTAGGGTCGTTGTCCTGTTGGAAGGTGAATCTTCGCCCCAGTCTGAGGTCCTGAGCGCTCTATGGAGCAGGTTTTCATCAAGGATCTCTCTGTACTTTGCTCCGTTCATCTTTCCCTCAATCCTGACTAGTCTCCCAATCCCTGCCGCTGAAAAACATCCCCACAGAATGATGCTGCCACCACCATACTTCACCGTAGGGATGGTGCCAGGTTTCCTCCAGACGTGACGTTTGGCATTCAGGCCAAAGAGTTCAATCTTGGTTTCATCAGACCAGAGAATCTTGTTTCTCATGGTCTGAGAGTCTTTAGGTGCCTTTTGGCAAACTCCAAGCGGGCTGTCATGTGCCTTTTACTGAGGAATGGCTTCTGTCTGTCCACTCTACCATAAAGGCCTGATTGGTGGAGTGCTGCAGAGATGGTTGTCCTTCTGGAAGGTTCACCCATCTCCACAGAGGAACTCTGGAGCTCTGTCAGAGTGACCATTAGTCTTGGTGGTTCCAACATTTTTCCATTTAAGAATGATGAAGGCCACTGTGTTCTTGGGGACCTTCAATGCTGCAGAAATGTTTTGGTACCATTCCCCAGATCAGTGCCTCGACACAATCCTGTCTCTGAGGTCTACGGACAATTCCTTCGACCTCATAGCTTGGTTTTTGCTCTGACATGCACTGTCAACTGTGGGACCTTATATAGACAGGTGTGTGCCTTTCCAAAACATGTGCAATCAATTGAATTTACCACAGGTGGACTTCAATCAAGTTGTAGAAACATCTCAAGGATGATCAATGGAAACACGATGCACCTGAGCTCAATTTCGAGTCTCATAGCAAAGGGTCTGAATACATATGTAAATAAGGTATTTCTGTATTTTAAAAAAAATGATAAATTAGCAAAATTTCTAAATACCTGTTTTCACTTTGTCATTATGGGCTATTGTGTGTAGATTGATAGAGGAAACATTAATTTAATCCATTTTAGAATAAGGCTGTAATGTAACAAAATGTGGAAAAAGTCAAGGGGTCTGAATACTTTTCGAATGCGCTGTGTGTGTGTGTGTGTGTATATATATATATATATATATAGATATACAGAGGGGAGAACAAGTATTTGATACACTGCCGATTTTGCAGGTTTTCCTACTTACAAAGCCAGAAAATCACATTGTATGATTTTAAAGTAATTAATTTGCATTTTATTGCATGACATAAGTATTTGATCACCTACCAACCAGTAAGAATTCAAGCTCTCACAGACCTGTTAGTTTTTCTTTAAGAAGCCCTCCTGTTCTCCACTCATTACCTGTATTAACTGCACCTGTTTGAACTCGTTACCTGTATAAAAGACACCTGTCCACACACTCAATCAAACAGACTCCAACCTCTCCATAATGGCCAAGATCAGAGAGCTGTGTAAGGACATCAGGGATAAAATGGTAGACCTGCCCAAGGCTGGGATGGGCTACAGGACAATAGGCAAGCAGCTTGGTGAGAAGGCAACAACTGTTGGCACAATTATTAGAAAATGGAAGAAGTTCAAGATGACGGTCAATCACCCTCGGTCTGGGGCTCCATGCAAGATCTCACCTCGTGGGGCATCAATGATCATGAGGAAGGTGAGGGATCAGCCCAGAACTACACAGCAGGACCTGGTCAATGACCTGAAGAGAGCTGGGACCACAGTCTCAAAGAAAACCATTAGTAACACACTACGCCGTCATGGATTAAAATCCTGCAGCGCACGCAAGGTCCCCCTGCTCAAGCCAGCGCATGTCCAGGCCCGTCTGAAGTTTGCCAATGACCATCTGGATGATCCAGAGGAGGAATGGGAGAAGGTCATGTGGTCTGATGAGACAAAAATAGAGCTTTTTGGTCTAAACTCCACTCGCCGTGTTTGGAGGAAGAAGAAGTATGAGTACAACCCCAAGAACACCATCCCAACCGTGAAGCATGGAGGTGGAAACTTCAGTCTTTGGGGATGCTTTCTGCAAAGGGGACAGGACGACTGCACCATATTGAGGGGAGGATGGATGGGGCCATGTATCGCGAGATCTTGGCCAACAACCTCCTTCCCTCAGTAAGAGCATTGAAGATGGGTCGTGGCTGGGTCTTCCAGCATGACAACGACCCGAAACACACAGCCAGGGCAACTAAGGAGTGGCTCCGTAAGAAGTATCTCAAGGTCCTGGAGTGGCCTAGCCAGTCTCCAGACCTGAACCCAATAGAAAATCTTTGGAGGGAGCTGAAAGTCTGTATTGCCCAGCGACAGCCCCGAAACCTGAAGGATCTGGAGAAGGTCTGTATGGAGGAGTGGGCCAAAATCCCTGCTGCAGTGTGTGCAAACCTGGTCAAGACCTACAGGAAACGTATGATCTCTGTAATTGCAAACAAAGGTTTCTGTACCAAATATTAAATTCTGCTTTTCTTATGTATCAAATACTTATGTCATGCAATAAAATGCAAATGAATTACTTAAAAGTCATACAATGTGATTTTCTGGATTTTTGTTTTAGATTCCGTCTCTCACAGTTGAAGTGTACCTATGATAAAAATTACAGACCTCTACATGCTTTGTAAGTAGGAAAACCTGCAAAATCGGGAGTGTATCAAATACTTGTTCTCCCCACTGTATATATACATACATACATACATACATATATACATATATATACCAAAAAATAATAATGGGGGATTGGAAATTATGCAGCCAATTACATTGATAGAAGCCACAAACTATCTGCAATGTTAAAGCTGATCTAAAGGCTATCCTTAGAAAGGCTATGACAGGGCTATTCAACTATATTCTTATGGGGGCCAAATTGCGGTTTTTGTGACAGTCCCTTCTAACATGTCCTGCCCGGCCTTTGATCTTCATAGAGGGGAACAGAGAGTCTTAGCTTTCAGGAATAGGGTTATAATAGGTTATAGCCAAAACGGTTCAAACGCTAGAGACAAATTCATATGAAGAAAAATAATTTCAACATGCTACTTTGGCTTCAGAAACCGCCAGAAGCTTTGATTCTGAGGATCTAGAGGATCTGTTCTCCTCTACCTCTCCTGGCTGGCAAAGTAACAGAATTTTGTCTCTGGTTTTGAATCTGAATCTAGATAACTGAATTTGAAAACTGAATCTGAATGCAGCTGAGAAGTTTAACATATGAAACTTTGATCAACTTGAAATTATAGTTTGTAAACTTGATAAACAGACAATAATGCAATATCTACCATACTGAAGCTGAATATAAAAATACAGAATTTAAATATTCAATCAAATTGAAATATAATTTTATGAATTCAATTTATGAATTCAATGATTACATTTGTGCATTACAACTTCTAAAATATTAAATTCAAATTCTATATCCTAATACAAATTCAAAATTCTGGAATTCAAATACAATTTCTGTTAGCACTGATATTGCTCCATAGACTTGTTTTTGAATGGTCAAATCGGATTTATTTGCCTTCAATGGTTTTTAAACTGTTATTTTGGCATATCTTGTTGCTTGCTAGCTACAGTTTCAAAAGAACATGTGGTAGCTAACTAGCTTGGTAATTGTTTACAAACAAATTAGTGAATGTGCTAGAAAGCTACTGTGGCTAGCCAAAAAGGACTCATTTTGAAAGTTGCATTATCTTATCTTTTGAGGCTTAGAGAACTGAATTTGAATTATTCTGAGAAGTTGAATATATGAATAGAAAGGGAAAGGGGATATCTAGTCAGTTGTACAACTGAGTGCACTCAACTGAAATGTGTCTTCTGCATTTAACCCAACCCCTCTGAATCAGAGAGGTGCGGCGGGCTGCCTTAATCGACATCCACAGCGCCCGGGGAACAGTGGGTTAACTGCCTTGCTCAGGGGCAGATTTTTACCTTGACAGCTCGGGGATTCAATCCAGCAACCTTTCGGTTACTGGCCCAACGCTCCTACCCGCCAGGCTACCTGCAGGTTGCAGGTTTCGATGAACTTGAAATAATAGTTTGTACACTTGATACACAGACAATGAATGTAATATCTACCATATTGAAACTGAATATATAAATATTGAATTTTAATATTAAATTAAATGTACATTTAATTTTAAAACTGAATGCAGTATTCATTCAATTCCGTTTCAAATCATGGAATACAAGTTAAATCTAAATATTACATTCAAATTCAATATCCTATGTCCTATGGCCAGGAATCAGATTTGTATCTGACTTCAAACCACCT